GTTAGCAAGGGGCATGCCCTTGGCTGAAAATCCCCTCCATGGGAAATTTGATTTGTTTGGAATGAGCATTCAGATTTCAGCTGGCTGCATGTGGTGAGTACAGGAGGGAGGAGCAGTCCCTCCTGGCCAGCCAGGTCTGCTGGGTCAGCCCGGGCTCAGCTGCAGGGGCAGGCTGTCTTGGCCCTAGCACCTTTCCCTCCAGTGGGGCATCCTGGGGAGTGATTGGAGCAGGCTGATGAATGGGTGCCATTTGATGGAAATGGTGCTGCCATCAGCTCTAGCTGGCTGACTTTAATCACTCATCTGTCCTGCATTCTACAATTTTAGGGTACATGGATCTGCTTTGTGTGTGTGTACTTTGAAAAGAAACTGAGTTTTGTCTTTTGTTATTTGGGGGCTATAAAAAATTATAATAGCTAATTCTGGACTTTATTCCAGAATTCTCCCTGTGGTTCTCTCTGAATGGGAAATAGCTTCTCTGTGTCTCATTTGTTCCTGTGTTTCTGTGGAGCTCACGTTCACTATTAATACTGGGCTTGTAGACATCAGGGTTTAGCAGGCGTGGCTACCTCACGGCTCCTCGGTAGCTCCTGTTCTCTAGGTAGAGCTGAGTAAAGTACTTTGGACATCGTGGTTCCTTTTGCATGATGTCTATTTATGACATTGTTTGATGATCAAGCTTTTATCCTTAAAAAAAAGTTAACCTAGTAATGATATTCACCATCACTGCTTTTCTGCGATAGGCATTATGATAATAATTAAGGGACATAATAGGTGAAATGTTTTGAGCTCAGTGGAAGGGAAAGATGATCAGAATCATAGGGACTATTATTTAGTTCCATACTATTACCATATGATCAAGAATAGATTAATTTTGGAAATCATAATTTCATGTCTGGACATCTTTTTCCTGCTTAACTACCGTACTTGGGTTTAGCTTGCGCCCCATAAACAAATAAATGGGAAATGATCAAAAAGGTTTTTACTATGTTTTTCATTTGCTGTTTTTTTAAAATTCTAAAAATAAATAAATCTTTTAAAATGAGTTGATTAAAAGGTTCATTTCCAGGGAATGTTAAGCATCTGTAATAAATAATAAATAATGTTGTAGCAGTTGGCTGCCTCCACATTCATGAAAAATAAATAAATATGTTTGGTGACATACATTTGAGGAATGTGATTCTTGTAATTTTTATGGAAATAAGGAGCAACTTTACAGATGATAAAGATCTTACCATCTGCTAGTAACAAAGAAACATAGCTCATAACACGTGGCGCTTACTAAGTTTAATGTATATATTGACATGCCAGGAATTGGAATTCTATAAAACTTAAGCTGGTCATCCCCAGGGAAGCTGACCTGACTTTCAGCATGTCAGGGAAAAGGTCTCTTTGCTTCTAAAGCAAATGGTATGGTCTTCACATTGCTCAGACGGCAGAGGAATGAGAGAGCTGAGCTTTCATGGTGAGAGATGAAGAGAAAGGCGCACTGTAGGCTTGTGAGCATCTGTACAATTTTCACTTGTAATTAGTGGAATGGTGGACTCAGTGCCGAGAAGCTACTGTCTTTATCAGTCCGAACATTTAGTGTTGGTGGAAAGGTGAAAGTTGAGATGCGTGGAGAGATACAGGGAGGTGGGAAGTTCAGCCTTTCTCTTAACAATGACATCTGTGTTAAGAAGGTGCCATTTTACCTTCCTAGACATGAAATGTGATGGGTGGGGTTGTGGTTCCAGTTCGGGGGAAAGAGTGGGTGGGTTGCTTCCAAGAATGGCTCAATCCTGAAGACGACAGAACTGCCTCCTGCGGAAGGAGGAGGAGACCAAAGGGAGGGCATCCGAGATGCATTGCCTGTCTCTGAGTTTCCTTACTCTCCCTGTAGAAGTGGGATGGGTCATTTTGGGTCATTCTGGCTTTGCTTGATGGTGTGGACTCAGGGCACAAGCATTATGGTGGTCTCGTAAAAAGATGGCCATTGTGTTTCTTTTGGTAGACAATGTATAAGCAATCTTGAGGGTGTTTAATCCTTCTTAGGATTAGAAGCTATAGGCTGGGTATACAGGCACAGCCTCACTAGTGAGTTTTATCTTGGAATGCTTTAGGGCTGTGGTCCCCAACCAGTACCAGACTGGTACTGGTCTGAGGCCTGTTAGGAGCTGGGCTGCACAGAAGGAGATGAGCGGTGGGGGCAAGTGAGTGAGTGAAGCTTCCGCTATATTTACAGCAACTCCCATCACCTGCACCACCACCTGAGCTCCACCTTCTGTCACAGAGATGGCAGTATTAGATTCTCATAGGAGCGTGAACTCTGCTGCGAGGGATCTAGGTTGAACGCTGCTTATGAGAATCTAATGCCTGGTGATCTGAGATGGAGATAGAATGCACTAGAATCATCCTGACACTATCCCCCGCCCCCAGCCGCAGAAACTGTGAAACTGGTGCCTGGTGCCAAAAAGGTTGGGACCACTGCTTTAGGGCATCTTCATTCAGTCTTACAGGGGTTAGGAATGAGGCAGGTTTAAAAAAGGGGCAGCTTTGCTCTCACCTCCAGCTTCTCCAGATTTTGGTGTAACCCTTAATCCCAGACCGTGGAAATGTGTCAAGCCTATCTGCCTAATTGATTTTGGCTTCTGTCCTGTTGCCTTTGTCTTAAACGTCTAAGCCATGTTGCAAAATCAGTAGCGTCTGCAAATTCGCAGTCATGGTTGTGCGCTATTATTGACTTTCCCTTTTCCCGCCCTCCTCCTGTTTTCACCTCTTTGGACCCTGGTGTTCTTGTACCCTTTCCTCTTGGCCAGGGGGATAATGCTGACAAACTTGTGCACACTAAGATACTAAAGGAGATGAGGTTTAAGTGTTTGCCCTTCTTGTGGTGTTTATATTTCTTGCAGGGGTGAAGACATCTTAAACCAGAGGAATGACTCTCTAGTTGTGGAATTTCAATCATCAGCCAGCAGATGCAGGAGGTATTATGTTGGGTATGGGGGCCTTCCCAGAAGCCCAGACTTCATGCTAAATAATGATCACCTGCCTGCTCCATCCTACATGTAGCCACTCTGTCTGTCACACCTGTCTCGTATATTTAGTTGGCTTCACCTGGCAGCAAGCATGTCTGTGGCAGTCTCTGTATGAAGTTCAGTACCATAGGTACTTTAGAGAAGGTTCTACCTACAGGACAGGGGAAGAGCTCTCACGCATGCATGCAATGCAAGCTTATTTTCTTTCATGTTCACTATAAATGTTGACATTGGTCTGAAATTAGAAGTTCATAGTAAAATTGGAATTCTCCTGTTGGTTAAAGCCCACTTCATGCCCATCCATAGCATGAGTCATGAGTCCTCAGAGCAGTCTCCATTTGAAATTCATGGAATGTTTGTTTGTAAAAGCTGGCCTTTCATGTTACACATGTCCACAAGCAAGGCGGGACTGTGTATCCTCGCCTTTGAACTTGCAACCTGGTTCTGTAAATAAGAATGTCATTCCCATCTCATGCTTCCCTTCTGTCGGTCACTGTCACTACAGTCAGCCCAGAGAGTTTAGTGATCATGAGGTCAGAACTATAATAAGCTTCTCAGTTGGTAGATGATTCCAGAGGCTGCAGCCCCGCTTGATATGAAGGTCACACTGTTGGACTCCCAAATCTAATAACTTTGGGTAATGTACTAAGGATGAATTAAAATGCTAATAGGCTCCATGTTCTGGAGATTTTTAACATTCCCTAATCTTAAATTTAAATTGAATGCCTTAGGTGCTGTAGCAGTCTTGCCAGAAGCATGTTTAGCATCACCCCTCAGCGAATTTAAGTGCATTCTGGCCACACCAGCAGAGCTAGGATAAGCAGTATTTATTTTACAGTAATTGTTTTTGTGTCCCCTACAGCAACGTGACACAAATGTTCTTCTTTTTAAACTCAAGATAGCTATTTAGCTTTAAAAAAAATCACTATTTTTATAAGTTGCTTTGAACGTACAGATCTTTTATTATTAACAATATTTTAATAGCAACACATTAGATTTTGTGGTACCCAAAGCTATTCCAAAGCCCTTTTTATAGATTGCCTTCACGTTTAAACCTTGTAACAACACTGTAAAACACTCCTGCTTTATAACGAAGACACTGGGGATAGAGAGAGTAAGTGGCTTTTCTGGCCTCATGTGAGTGGTTGGTATCCTGCCTCCCAACCCAGCATTTGCCCCCAGACCGAGAGGGAACCCGAAGCTTCTGCTGGCAAGTGAGGACAGTATTCTTTTTATTCATTTATTTTTTTTGGCCAGTGCTCATTTGAAGGATTGTGTGTGTTCTTTCTGATTATCTCTTGTCTACACACTGAGGCCAGATTTCTTTATCCAGGTCCCCCCCCTCCCCAAAGCGTATTTTCTTCCCTCAGTAAACGGGTCCTTTCTCCTCCCTGTTAGTTAAATTAGCCCCTTTATTTTCTTCTTATTAGGGGAAAGAAATACTTTATCTCGTCCTTAGTTCTTCCAGTTATCTGGTGCCTCGCGACTTCATGATTGTATTTTGGGAGAATAGAAATTAATTTTCTTCAGCAAAAAGGCCGCGTTCCTTGATGACACAACATAATTCAATTTCCATTCTCCCTCTTTGTCGCCCGCACCCCTTCCCCTGGCACATTTTTCATAGTTAGGAGGAGTAATGGTGTCAGATATATCAGAAGGAAGAATTGATTCAGTAGTCGTTTGACGACTTGACTGATTAACAGAGATCAGAAGAAGGCTCATAACTGTGAAAACCACTGCAGCATGGAGTTTTAACAGCTCTTTAGGGAGCTAGTTAATGAAAGAATCACTACAGAAACACAGCCATGCAAAAAAAAAAAAAAAAGAAAGAAAGAAAAAGAGTAGCAACATTCCCATATAACACTCCGAGGCTATGTCACAAGAGGAAATATGCTCATAATTTCTGTTTACACATCACTGTAATTACTGTCTGCCTTAAGATTACTTCCAGTCTTCTGCTGTCATAGTTGCTTAGATAGTTCCTCTTTCACACGTCAGGAAGGGAAAGCTAGTTCTGGTTGGAACTCGTCCTAAGGATTCCCTCCCCCCAAGAATGTAATTTTCAAACACTGGAGTACTTGGTGCCTGATGAGACAAGCTTTAATCTCCGTGTTCTTGTTATCATCACTGCTTGTCCAGGGACCAGACTTCTGCACTCAGAGGAACATCACATTGGGCTTTAGCCTTTAATTTGCGTGTGTGTGGTTATTCTCTTTTCTTTCTCCTGATGCAGTGTCTATGAACCAGATAGAAATGCGTTACGGAGGAAAGAACGAGAGAGAAGAAGTCAGGAAACTCAGCAGGATGACGGCACATTTAATTCCAGCTACTCTCTGTTCAGCGAGCCTTACAAGGTAGATGGGTTTCACCCATTCGCCTCCAGCCCCCACTCTGACTCCCTGTGAGGCGGTCAGCTGCGGGAGTTGACCGACTAGACTCCAGTTCCTTTGCTGCCTGTTCAGCCCAGGGAAGACAGCTCAGCTGCTAAGTGCAGGGTCTTTCCCCACAAATCCTGGTATCTAGTTCACGTGGTTTCACTGGATGCTTCCTTAGTAAAATGTAACTTTTGCTTAATATTGAGATCTGCTTGCTATAATTTTTTTCTCTCTTTTTTTTTGCTTGCTATAATTTTTATCAATAATATAGACTTCATTTCTGTGTAGACTTACGTATTTTTTTGTAGAGTCTCATTTTATCGTCCTCAGTAGAGTGCCGTGGCATCACACAGCTCACAGCAACCTCCAACTTAGGTGATTCTCTTGCCACAGCCTCCCAAGTAGCTGGGACTACAGGCACCTGCCACAATGCCTGGCTATTTTTTTGTTGCAGTTTGGCCGGGGCCAGGTTTGAACCCATGACTCTCAGTATATGGGGCCGGTGCCCTGCCCACTGAGCCACAGGCACCACCCTCTATGTAGACATTTCAAAGTCAATGCCACATGTTTCCTAAAGAAACAAATATGGATTATCTTAAGATAAGAGTACCTGGTAGGGCTAATGAGAAAGAAACTGTAAGATTATCTCTCTTTTTACCAAAGTCCAGAAATATAAACTGTCTTCCAAAGTGAAATGTCTTCTCAGATTTTGCTGGTATCCCAGGACTGCATGAAGCCATAGGTCATTCGGGCTGGTAGCTTCTTGCACATTTAGTGCATGTTCCATTTAAACTGCACTGGAGTTCTCTTACCTGTCACTCTGGGTTTTTGACAGGAATATTTATCTGTTTCAAAATTGGAAGCAGACCAGTCCTGACCCAAATCTAAAATTTTAAGAAAGGCTTCCGACAGGACTACAAGTAAGAAAAGAAAAACAATCCTGGAAAGACTTGATCTGGACTGTTTTGTGAGGTTGCAGTAGTAAATTTTCTGATTTCCAGGTAATATATTTTAGGTGCAACACAATACCAAGGACAGATTCCTTTTTAATGCTCCCTCAGGCCATGGCAGGTTTCCAGTTCTGGTGTGATGACCAGTGCTGACAGACATCTTCAGAGACGCACAGGATTTTGATTTCATCTCTCAGCTCTCATTCTAAATGTGGCAGCCTTGGCTCCATGATTGATCAGGGCACCTGTCCATTATTTCCTGTGTTTCTCTTGTCTCTGGCAATAGTGTGGATGTGTTTTTCTTTCTCCAGACTAACAAGGGGGATGAGCTCTCCAATCGGATCCAGAATACTTTAGGCAATTATGATGAAATGAAAGACTTTTTAACTGACAGATCCAACCAGAGTCACCTCGTCGGTGTTCCCAAACCTGGGGTTCCTCAGACGCCTGTGAACAAGATTGATGAACATTTTGTTGCAGATTCCAGAGCCCAGCCCCAGCCCTCGTCTATCTGCAGCACTGCATCCTCTGCACCAGCAGCTGTCCCTGTGCAGCAGAGTAAGAGAGGCACCATGGGCTGGCAGAAGGCTGGGCATCCTCCATCCGATGGCCAACCACGAGCAAGTAAGCATGGGCACAGGTTGCTGGGTGTGCACAACTCTGCTAACCCAAAGAACCATAATAAAAAACCTGGTCTCTATATATTGAGCCCCTCATCCTCATCTTCCTCCTCTTCTTCTAACTCAGCACAACAGGGCTCTCTCAGGACCTTGCTTGGAGATGGTGTTGGCAGACAGCAGCCGCGGGCCAAACAAGTCTGCAATGTGGAGGTGGGTCTTCAGACCCAGGAGAGGCCACCAGCCATGGCAGCCAAGCACAGCAGCGGTGGACACTGTGTTCAGAACTTTCCTCCATCCCTGGCTTCGAAACCCAGCCTGGTCCAGCAGAAACCGACTGCATATGTGCGGCCAATGGATGGCCAAGACCAGGCTCCTGACGAATCTCCTAAGCTTAAGTCATCTACAGAAACCAGTGTGCACTGTGCTTCATACAGAGGTGTCCCAGCCAGCAAGCCGGAATCAGCCAGAACCAAGGCCAAGCTTTCCAAGTTCAGCATCCCCAAGCAGGGAGAGGTGAGTCTTTTCGCAATACCATTTATATGCAACTAAGTAGTTATGCGTGACGGTTGTAAATTCAGTTTCCATGTTTCTTTTTTTCCAGTGATATAGCAGTCTATGTGGTAGGATCTGTAGCAGTCACTAAAGGGGGAGGGGGGCAGACATACATAATGATTTCTTAAAATCGCAAACTTCTTATACTTGGAATTTTTAAAGTACTCAATAAATGAATTTCTGAGTTTGTGTGTGTATTTCTGTGTCTATGTAGTTAGGGAAAGAATGCCTCCTTCAGTATAATTCAGGGGGTTTTCTAATGAACAACTAGTGTTGACTGAGATATTATATGTTAGAAGTAAGAGCCCTCCAAGGCTATAATTTTTATAATTTTTACATAAAAGAGTTCAGAAACTTTTAATATTTTTGTGTTTTGAAATATTCCAGGACAAACATTACAAAGTAAACCTCTTAATAATGTTTAAAGTAATTGTTTAAATGATTTAATATTGATTATGGTGAATATTCAAATGTATCAGATATGCCTTCCTATCTCATACTATATCCCCAATTAATGATGGTCATAAAGACAGTGTGAAGAAGAAATAAGACTGTGCACATTATTTTTTATTCTGCTGTGATACGCGGTGTTAACTAAAGGACAGTGTGAATTCTAGACCATTGGGCTTAGGAGCTTTTTTTTTTTTTTTTTGATATATTCTTTAAGAGAGAGTAATAGTGTGGCCAGAATTTAAGTTGACTTAATAATCAAATAAATGATTTGACATTTCTTGTTGCATTTCAACATTGAGCTTAAACTTTTTGGAACAATCATCTTAGAAATCACCTTAGACCAATTTGGGAGCTCAATATACCACCCTTAGAGAAGATGTCTTCTTTAAGCTATCGAATGTTTTACCAGTTTTGCTGAGGAAATTAAATGACACCAAGACAATAACTTCTTTGACTGCACATTATGATGGAGTCTAGAAAATATTCATTGGGAATTAATGAAAGCTAAATGTAGTTTCTGTAAGCATTTATTATTTTAAAAGTTTGTAGGAAACACACAGATACCATCTTGCAAAGCTGAATTCATCAAGCTCTTTGATTTTTGTTATCATCAAATAACCAGTACTAGCAAGTAAAGGCATAGTTTATCGTTGAATAATGCTGACTGACTTTTACAACTGCCAGGAACTCCTTTATAATTTTAAACAATATTTATTTTTATTTATTTATGTCTAATTTTTTTTATAGATTTAGGGAGTAAATGTAGTTCTTTACATATTGTGTAATGGTGAAGTCTGTGCTTTTAGTGTACCCATCATATGAATAGTACCTGTTAGGTAATATTTCATCCCTTATCCCCCTTGTACTCTCCCACCTTTTGGAGTCTTCAGTGGCTATTATTTCAGTCTGTATATCCATGCAGACCCATTGTTTAGCTCTCACTTAAAATGTAACACATAAATATGAACGTGATATTTGACTTTCCAAGAGTTATTTCACTTAGGATGATGGCCTCCATTGCCATCCAGGTTCATGCAAAAGACATGATTTTGTTCTTTTTTATGGCTGAGTAGAATTCCATGGTGTATATATAATCCCACATTTTCTTTATCAAATGATTGGTTGGTGGACATTTAGGTTGGTTCTTCATCTTTGCTATTATAAATAGTGCTGCAATGAATGTGTGAGTGCAGATGTCTTTTTGAGATGATTTCTTTTCCACTGGGTAGATAACCAGTAGTGGGATTGCTAGATGAAGTGGTAGATCTGTTTTTACTTCTTTGAGAAGTCCCTATACTGTTTTCCATAGAGGTTGTGCACGTATTAATTTCCAGTCCTACCAACAGTGTATATGTGTTCCTGTTTCTCTGTATTCTCACCAACATCAATTGTTTTTGAACTTTTTAATGATAGCCAGTCTGACTAGAGTAAGATGGTCTCTGCACAGGAAAAGAAATAATCAACAGAGCAAGTAGAAAGCTGTAGAATAGGAGAAAATATTCACAAACTCTGCGTCCAACAAAGGGCTGATATCCGGAATCTATAAGGAACTCTAACAACTCAACAAGAAAAAAAAAAAATTAAAAAGTGGGCAAAGGACATGAACAGACATTTTTCAAAAGACATGCAAGTGACCAAAAAATACAAAAAAATGCTTAACATTATAACTGTCAGAGAAAAGCAAATGAAAACCACAATGAGATAACCAGTTGATGTCTTATTAAAATGATTTTTATCTACCAAAGAAAATTCAAATGTATTAGGTAGTAATTTACTTGTTTATTTCCTTTGAAATTCAGTGAGTTGATAAAACTCTGGTTAGAAGGAAAAAAAATTTTTTTTTGATTGCCAGTACAGCCTTATAACAGTGCAAGGTTTATGAGATTTGGGATATGTCATTCATAACTTGGACACTTCCAGAATGCCCTTTGAGGGCCCCACATTGGGAATGACATACTGTGTGCTAGTGTTTGGTCATCCTCGAAGGAGAGACATGCTTGAGACCAAGAGTCATACTGAGCGAAATTGGAGCTTTTATATATGAAACGTTCTATTTCCCCTACAGGTAATGACATTGAAGTACTGAGCCTGCTCCGTTCAAGAGGTAGATCGTGCTTTGACAAAGGAGATAAGAGGGGGATGTTGTTTGTAGAACAAAGTTATAATTTTTAGGCTTCTTTTGTGGCAGGTGGGGATTTAGTCTTTAGTAAAAAGCATTAGATGTTCGCAAAATATCATAATTTGAATCGCGTAACACTTACCTAATTAGCCCACTACCACAAGAAGAAAATGACTCTTTAACAGTTAGCAGCAGAGTAGTATCTGCAAGTTACTTTTTCTACCCTTCTACTTCATAGGTTTTGAGGGAGGAGTTTTTGACAGATTCTAAGAAATTTAAGGAATACCCTTTTGTGGGCAGCGCCTGTGGCTCAAAAAGGGTAGGGCGCCGGCCCCATACGCTGGAGGTGGTGGGTTCAAACCCAGCCCTGGCCAAAAAAGAAATACCCTTTTGCAAGTATAGAGTGTTCAGTATTTATAGGCTATTTTTATAAAATCCACAATCATAACATAAAAGATGTATCAACTAGATTTTACTTTTGGGGGGATATATGTTTTTATTTTTTGAAAAGGTAAAATAGTTTAAACAATTTCAAAAATATTCGTGTTCATTCATACATATGTATATATATATTTTATTTTATTTCATTTTATTATTATTATTTTTTTTTTTGGCCGGGGCTGGGTCAAATGCATGCCTTCCATTTTTACATCCTTTTTACCTAATACTTCCTTTCAGGTATTGCATGCAAAAATACTCTTTGGCATTGTGTAGGGACAGTCCTCATAAAGAAAATCAAAATGACTATGATGCAATGTGACGTAAGAAATTAAAATGAAATTTAAGATATAATCTGTGCCTCCAAGAAATTTACATGAATTGAATAAATTAGACTCTGGCATATAGTGTTTAACTTGCAATTTCTCTTACAGCCCAAACTAAATTCATAATTGGCCTTCTAGCTGTAAGACAATCCCCTTACCTTTGTCATCTGTGTAGTAGAAAAATAATTCTGTGTTATTTTCAAAAAATTGGGAAATCGTGGCTCTCTTTTGCCTGACTTTATACTTCATAAACTCTTCGTGCTCTCCTTACAACATCTGCAGTCTATCTGCTGGCGTGGCAAATTATTTGTTGTAATTCTTTAGTCTTCAATAATAGGTAATTAGTGTAAAAAAATCCAGTGGAAGTCTAAGACCTCAAGAGAATTCCTTGAACTGATACACCTGCCTGTTGGTTGGTTTTTCCTGGCTCCATTTGTGTTTAATGAAAAACATATTTTTGTTGTTATAGCTGAGTCTTTTATTCTCGATACTGCCCCTCATTAAGTGAGCCTCCCCGGGAGTGCCACTTGGAATGGTGTCTACCGTTAGGTGAGAAACAGGGGAACTAATGAATGGCCGAAGCATGCATTATGGAATCTTCTAAGGCAGGGGATACTAAATTTTATTTCCAATTTAAGTGAATTATTTTTTGTTTCTCTCTCAGCACACAATATATTATACTCAGCATGTCATTGCAGATGCAGACATTGGAGATGGTTAACTAGAGGGCCAGATACAGGTTTTGTGGGACCTAAACTTTGTATAGTCTTGGGGATCTTACTTAGGAATAAAAGCACAGAAAAGTATTTTATTCTGGCAGTTTTCTTCAAACATAATAAGTGTGTTAACGCACTTGTAGGGCCCCTTCTGGGGCCTTAGAGGCCCTGAAGCATAAGCATCATTAACTTCACTGTCTCTGTCTTTGGCTCATGGAATAATAAGAAAATTGTCATTAAAACGATCATTTTAGATTTGAAGATTCTTGTATTAGCCTTAAACTTCGTAGAACTTAAAAATACAAAAAATAGCGTATTTGCTAGGTGATAAGGACAAGGCCAAAAATAGGACAGTAGCATGAAATATCTAATATGCAGAGCCATCAAAACGAAATATGGGCCTCAGGGGACTTTGTAGTTCGTTTGCTTGGCAAGTTACAGCTTCAGCAGTGGTATTCCAAAGCCTCACATTTTAATTTTCTGTTTGCTATTAATTTAATAAATAGTGATGATTTGAAACTGCTGTTGCAGAGGGCTCTGATGGCTGGGAAGGGAACTCGTTTGACAAGCCACAGAAGCAAAGGAAACTGTGGCTGCTGCCCATAGCTTAGTCAGTGATAAGGAAAGACACCTGAAATTGAGTATCAATTAATACAATGGACGTTAGGAGTTTTAGTCGTGGTTGATAATTCATCGGCAAGAAAAGAGTAACCAGTCATGATTGATCAGAATTGTATTTGTTAAAATAAGTAATTAAATACTTGAAGATGTATTGATTAATCATAGCATTTTCATGACGGGCATTTTAAAGTCACCGTTTATGCCCTGAATAAGAGCAGAAAGATGAAGCACTATGATTCCACAAAATAGCTTCCTAGAAAAGCAATTAACGGATTTTTTTAAAAGTTC